AAAGAACCCTGTTGTATTCATCTTCTAACTGGAGGAGAGGAATCCATCACCTGCCTCTTGTAAGTGCACTTGGAAAATACCAGCGGAAGAATCTCCAAGATGCCCACAAAAAGTACTCCTAAGTGAAAAGTGAAAGAGTCAACCTTGAGTGTGATTGCGCCACAGAGCACAGAAATCACATCACCATGGCACCAGATAAAGGTGGGTATCTCCCCACCCCCCAGACTGTATTTTGTCCCCCCCACTCAGAATCAACAGTTAATGGGAGAGGGGAGGGCAGAGAAGAGACTGACTGTACCCTCCACCTCACTGCAAGCTGGGGAGGGAGGAAGCCATAATTTTAGTTGAAATCGTGAATTTTGATCATTGCACTGTTTAATTGCAGATATGAGGCTATAATTGTGATGAATGTAACCAGACAACTTTTCATTATCTGGAAGGTGCCAGAGGCTCCATCTAGGTCAGGGGGAGAAATAACCCATAGAGAGGGTTTCAAGGTAATGGATAATGTTTTCTGATTATGATCTTTCAAGTTTAGCTTATTTAATATACTGCTTTAATAAATATAAATGAGCCCGGCTAGGTGTGGCTCAGCTGTTGAGCATCGACCTATGATCCAGGAGATCGAGGTTCGATTCCCAGTCAGGGCACATGCCTGGATTGTGGGCGTGATCCCCAGTAGGGACGTGCAGGAGGCAGCCAATCAATGATTCTCATCATTGATGTTTCTATCCCTCTCTCTCCCTCTCCCTTCCTCTCTCTGAAATCAATAAACATATATTTTAAATAAATAAATAAATAAATAAATATGAGAGAGAGAGAGAAAGGAAGGAAGGGAGGTGAAGAGAGACGTAACACCCTCAGTAATTTGAATTGGGACAAAATGTGATTGGCTACCTTCCTTGGCAGGTAGGACAGGACCAGGGTGAGAAGTGGCAGGCAACCCCTTCACCAAACAAAGAGAGAGAGGATGGGTACCGCCAGTCCAGTCTCCTTCTGGTCCACTTTCCCTAGAACAGGCTGATTAAATGGGCACCTGCTAACCAGGAGACAGTTCTGGAATCCCCTGCCTGGTCCCAGAAACCCAGCTACGTAATTAGGTGGGAAGACACCTACCACTGGGCAGCGCCAAAGTGCAGCTGAGCCAGGTAAAGTTTGAACCTGTCGTAAAACTCCCAGCTGGGACTTCCCTGTGTCCCCCTCCCCCAACATATTTCTATAACCCCACAATAACCCCAAATCTTATGTAACTGGATCTTTTGGCCCCCACTAATCATGTTATGGTGTAATTTTACTATGTTTTTTATGCACCCAGTAAAATGTGCTCTGCATTTTCAAGCGAGCTATGCTATAGCTCACTGCAGAACATGAGGTTTTGCTACTCCTAAGACAGGCCTTAGAAATATGCCCTTCAGATCCCCAGGACAGTGAGAGAGGGTAGGCCCTGTGGACTCTGTGGACCGGCCATCCAAAAGCCACACACAGTCCCCTTCCCCCTTGCCTTTCTCTATTATACGGGCTGGGCGATGATGTGAGTAATCACCTTTCCAGACTCCCTTGCAGGGAGAGACAGCCACGAGCCCCAGTTCTGCCTGGGGAGATGTAAATAGAAGTCCCAGGCAGGGGATCTTTAAAAAGGAAAGGCCTGACTGGGAAGTAATCTTCCTCCTGGAACAGGAACATGATACCTGGAAAGGCAGCAATGAGTCACGACCATGGCTTTATGCCAAGGCTATTGAAGCAGAAAGTAGGAGATGGCATCCTTGATGGCAACGGTGATCTAAGTTACCAGCCCAGGTCTGTCTCCCTCTAGATCTCTTGTGGTCTGAGAATGCCTTATGTAGTTAAGCAGCTGTTAGTTATCTCTTGCTTGCAGCTCAACACGTTCCTAACAGGTCCAGAAAAGAAAGGAGATGAAACATTCATCAGTATGGATTTTCTATAACGAATCATTCAGAAAATGTCAGTCCCTGACACCAAGGAGCACCATCCTAGCCAAAACTCTGACTTTAGATTTCTTGCATGCGAGACAAATAGACATGTCTTCTTTGTTTTTTGTTTTCTGCCCGCTTTGCTGAACCTAATCTTAATTTATATATATATCTCATTAGTTATCTCTTGCTACAGATCACATTGCCTCAAAATCTAGTGACTTAAAGTATAACCATCTGTGATCACTGCAGCTTCTGTGGAGCAGGAATTCAGGAGGAGCTTGTCTGGACACTTCCACTGGGAGTCGTTCTTGCTGTTACAGCCGGGCTCCTGGCCCAGACTGCAGGCATCTGAAGGCTGGAGAGGGGAGCTCAGCTCATCAAGGCAGCTTGCGCTTGTGACTGTGCCTCTGTTCTCCGCATGGACCTCTTCCTGGGCTGCTGGCACCCCATGCCACCCTCATGCCACCAAAACAAGTGATCTTGAGAACGAAGCAGAATGAACAATATCTTTTATGACCCAGCCATCAAAGCCACCCACGGTCACTTCTGCAATATATTGTTGGTCACAGATGCCCACTCAGTGTGGAAATACAGAGTAGACAAGGACCCTTGGAGGCCCTCCAGAGGCGGCTCCCACATCCCACCTCTTCCCTGACGGACTCCTGTTTGTTCAAATAGCAGGTGACAATCCCTGAGTACCAGCCAAAGGTGTTTTTGAATAGCAGCCTCAGGGATAAATCATGTCCCTTCTAGACCAGCTATTGTTGTCATTAAATTTGTTGGCTTCGCTTACTTAGCCCATTTTTCACAATTTACCCGACTCGGGGTAGCAGTTTGGAGATGGCTCACGTTTAAGCAGCCTCTTTTTCCCCCTCTGAATTTCCTACAGCTTCTCAGCTGAGCAACAATCATTGAATTTTATGCTTTTGTCAAAATAAGCTGTCAGCAACTGGTCCCAATCTGTTAGAAAGCGACATCATTTTCGCTGCCCCGGCGTTCACCTCATGGCGTGTGGACCGGAGGGGGCCCGGCAAATAGACATAAATCCAGAGCTCTATAATTCTCCATCCCCCGAAGAAGCGGCCGTAAAGTCCATCGCTGCAGATATATGGGGACAGAGGGACAAAGGACAACCGGCGATGAGTTTCAGAGGGGCTGTAAAACAGAAAGAGGACCTCGCTGACGGTGTCGGCCTCATTATAAGCCAGCCAGGCAGGGACGTGATTTATGGCTGGGTGCTGACTGGCCTGCGGGCATGAATGTCACTCTCTGTCCCACACCAGCCATCTTCAGTGCTCCTCGGCCCCCGCAACGGATGCTGATGGCCCTTGAGGCAATGGTGCCGCTTTTGGAGTCTGAACAGGAGAACAGGGCCTGGAGGCTGTGGATGTTTAGGAACAAGCTGTGCACCAGACAGACAAACGTTCCAATGCAGCCGCCCAGACTCTGCCACGCCCCTTGAGTTCCCTGCCCTGCAGGAGGGTCCTTCTGCATCAGCATGCGGGGTGCGGGGTGCAGGCCGCCTTTCCCAGCCTCCTCCCAGTGTCCTTGCCCACCGCACCCCCCTCCTGTCTGCTAAAACTGATCCCGGCTTTTCTTGTTGACAAAGCCTGTGATTTCTATTTAAAACAGACTCAAACGAGACAACGTGCGATATTTTAAAAAGGGGGGGAGGGGATAAAAAGGATGGTCAAGAATTGTTTAAAATACCTGGAGAGTAGCCCTCACTGTGGGAATTTATTCTGCCTGCGACAATGATGTTACGATGGTAAGACCGGGGACTTGCGAGGGCTGCTTCAAGCGTAGCTCTGAACAGTCAGGTTCCAGTTAATACGGCTATGTAAAAAATTACCCCAAAAGGTAGAGGCATAAAACATCCATTTGTCATGCTCATAGATTCTGTGGGTGGGGAAACGGTACTCACACAGCAGGGATGGCTCATGTCTGTTCCTCAATTCCCAGGGCCTCAACTGGAAGACCTGAAGGAGAGGGTCGGACTCATTTCACGGTTCCTTCATTCAGCTGGCGGGTGACACTCATGTTGCCGAGGCCCTAGCTGGGCCTCTCCATGCGGCCTGGGCTTCCCCACGACATGGCAGTTCTGTTCCAAAGGCAGCCTCCCAAGGGCCATGTGGTCTTATGTGACCAAGCTTTAGAAGTCAAGTGGTGTGACTTCCTCCCCGTTTGTTAATATACTACTTGAAGAAGGAAGAGGGCCCAGCATGAACTGAAGTCAACTTTGATTTGTACAGAGGCGACTGGGCATTTTCTAATTTTATTTATTTATTATTTATTTATTTATTTAAATATATCTTTGTTGATTTCAGAGAGAGGATAGGAGAGGGAGAGAGAGAGATAGAAACTTCAGTGATGACAGTCATTGATCGAGCCCGCAACCCGAGCATGTGCCCTGACCGGGAATCGAACCCCGATCGCCTGGATCCCAGGTCGATGCTCAACCACTGAGCCACGCCCGGCTGGGCTTGGGCATTTTAAAAAATATATCTTTATTGATTTCAGAGAGAGGAAGGGAGAGGGAGAGTTGTCATTGATCGGCTGCATCCTGCATGGCCCCCCGATTGGAGATCCAGCTCTTAACCCTGGTGTGTGCCCTGACTGGGAATTGAACTGCGATCTCCTGGATCCTAGGTCAATGCTCAACCGCTGAGCCATGCCCGCCCAGGAACAACTGGACATTTTAAAGGGAAAATGACAGAATGGGAAGGGGAGCCCCGAGGGGTCTTGAGCAGAGTCGGGAAAATGAAGATGACAAGGGGCTGGTGGGTTAGTGAGTTTAAGTGCAGATCAGGCCACTGTCTGTTAGCTGGCAATGACCCAAGTTAGGTTTCCATCTTCCCACAGACACTGGGAGACAGAGGCCCTGTCCTGCCTGAGGATTACGTGTCAAAGGAATGGCTTTGAGGTCCTCAAGAAAGACACTCCTGGGTCCTGGGAGGTCCATACACATCTCAATGGGACAGAGGAAGGATTCACGTCATTTTAGTAAAAGCTCTAAGAAAGAGCTTCAGGGGCCTATGTCAGATGTAACTAGAACTAACAGTCCATTCTTTGGGGAGGCTTGAACTTTCTCAGGCAGGCACTTTGGTGGGGGGTGATGTCAGGATCATCCTAACAACCTTGAGCTGTTAGAAACTATGTCAGCGTTTAAGTCTTTTAATGTAGGGGGTAGGGAGTGGACAAGATCATTTGTGCTGAGAATCTATAGTTTCTAATAGGCCAAGATTGAGACCTAGTTGAGAAGAGGGCTCAGAGGAGCCTGGTTAGAGTTTGGTTAAGGAGAGAATCTTTGTCAGAATTATGCCCTAGTTTAGGTCCCCCGAACCCCATATTTAGATTAGGAAACCAAGGCACAAGGGGATTAAATTGAGTAATAAGAGTCAATAACAGAGCTGTGATTCAAACAAGGTCTTTTTGTTCCAGTCAAGATCAGTGGCAGGAGAAGAAATGACATTCTATAACTGCGTACTTATTACACAACCATTGAGTTTTATCTCTGAGGGTCAGTGTAAACTCTTGAGCAATCTCTAACATAGACATTGGTACATTTGACTTTAAGATACTATTTTCCTACTTGGTTACTTAAGTTTGGCAAAGATTTTTGTCTCCCCCTAAATGCCTTTACTGTTTCTTTTAGTTAATTCCTTCAGGGCTTAATTAGGTTGCCAAGCCACCTTTTTAATCATTAATTTACGTCTGCCTTGGATTAAAATTGTATTTAAATAACAATTTAGACTTTAAAGACTTTAAGAAGTTTAATATTGGGTCTACATATTTATCTAAACAGAAACCGAAAATGACAAGGGCTTCCACAGGAAACAGTTTACTGTATGGAATCCCACCGGGGAGCAGACACATTAAAAGGGAGAGACGTTTAGTAATTCCACCTCCAATGGTTCTTAATCCTCGGTGTTTAATTTAGCTTTTCCAGAGTGTTGGATCCTAATGTTTTAATAGCTTCTACATTTTCGGTTAGTGCTTTGCCTTATCAAAGCACATTATTAATTCCTCGTCGGCTTCAGCGGGTCCTTGTTCTGTTGGTTAATGTTTCCCCTGTCATTTTTTATTAGAGGAAGCTCAAGGGTAAACTGAAGGACTTGGCCGTAATTTCATTACAACAGGAGAGAGGAAGAAAAAAAAAATCAGAGCTCATGAATGATCCGCTTATTGAGAGAACATTTCCTTGAGCCTATATTATTTTGCTGGAGAAAATAAATGACTTTTAAGAGTCACAATCTCTCTCTCTCTCTTTTTTTAAAGCTCAAAGGGTTAGCCTGTAACAGCATGGCCATAACTATGAACAATTCACGCAGCCCATGAAATCCTGGTGTTGGGGCCCGCCCTCAGGCTGGGTTTAGGGCTGGGAAAGCCAGTCCCTGCCCTCGCAGGCCTCGGTGCTCTGGGTCTGCCGCCTTCAGTGTTGAAGCATCGGTGCTCCCTGCGACCCTGGGCGGCCCGGGCTGGACCCAGCGGGCTTGCTCCCAGCCGGGGCACGGGCTCGGGCACCTGCCAGTCCCCTGCCAGGCGTTCCCGGGGCCCGAGGCGTCGGAGTCGCCCCGGCGGACGGGAACGTTGTCTGTCTGTCCGTCCGCCAGGAGAAATTAGGGAAGCCTCAGCACATTTCAGGAAGGACTGACTGACACTCCCCAGGCTTCCTGGAGGAAACAACTTCTTGCATCGCTCTTAATGTCACTATTATTCCACCCCGGCTTACAGCCTTCGTAAGTAACTAGGCTGTCACCCAGCCGAGCAGGTGCCCGTCAGCCTCCGACCCGGGCTTTGGCGCCAGGCCCGGGCAGGACGGTCCGTCGTCCGTCCGCGTCGCCCACGCGGCAGCCGGAGGGGGCCAGTGCAGTCACCGATGGCTTCGGCGTAGTGGGCTCGTTCAGCCGGCAGAAGCTCAAGAAGCGGAGCCCCTAAATAAAATGAAGCCTGTCGGTGACGCGCTGGCGCCCGTGCCCCCCCACGTGCTCGCCCCCAAAC